AAAAGATTGGGCATTTTCTCAGACACTTATTCTCTGTGTGTGACCAGCTGTGGAACTCTGTAGCAGTCTCCATCTGTTGCAAAAGTAGCTTCTTTGATGAGTGGTATACTTGTCTGTAAATATAAAGACCCATATTTAGGGTACAGTGAGAACTTATGTTTGTCTAGGGATATGACAGAGGCAGGGTTTTCTCTAGGATTTATGACCTCTCCAGCCGTGTGTATTTGACTTTGTTTACCGTGCCACATAGGAGTTCCCTCACACTGAGAGGGCTTTATGATTGATTAGGTAGCTGTTGATGGCCCCCAGGATATAAGTGCCACTACTGCATTGATATAGTTTGTTGTGCTGGTCATTGCTGTGGTTCATATGCTTTAAAGCAGGGGTGGGACCATTGAGTGGGTTTCTCCCTTAGCAGCTTGCATAGTATCCTCTGGAACTATGAGAGCTAGTCTTTAGGGAGGTGGCTTCCAGGTCAGTTCCAGTTCCATTGCTCAAAATCCTGTGTCCAAGCTATGTCCTGTCTTCAGCAATAGGGTCTTACCTTCAGCTTTTTGCAGGTAATCAAAGGCTGTGGCAATAGCCTGCTCTGTTTTGTGAATCTCTTGGAACTGTCCTGACCAACAACTCAAAGGGAGGTTTCTCCTGTCTGACACTGTTTCTTGTTATATAGCCTTCGGGTATACAAATGCACTCATGTTCAGATATTGTGTGTGTATTTTTCAATACGTTTTTGAGCTAATACATTTTCCTCTGATTTTTCTTCCCTCCTTCCTTCCCAGTTGAATACCTCACTTTCCCCCATTTCCCCCTTGGCAACATCTGTCTCCTACTATTCCCCTATCTCAGACTTTTTCCTTCCCAGGCTGGCCTTGAACTCACAAAGCAACACCTGCCTCTGCCTCTGCCTCCCAAGTGCTGGGATTAAAGGTGTGTTCCACCATGCCCAGCCCCTTTCATTTCTGATTTAATTGATTTGAATTTGCTCTTTCCTTTTGGGGGAGGTGAGAGTTATCTAGGCCAAGGGTCTTTCCATCTTGTTTATCTTTTCAAAGATCCAGTTCTTAGAATCATTGACTGTTTGCTTTCTTTGTTTCTATTTCATTGATTTCTGCTCTTTTATTATTTCTTCTAATGGGCTGGGTTTGGGTTTGGTTTGTTCTTGTTTTTCCAGAGTCTTGAGTTGTACCATTAAGACAAATTTGTGCTCTTTCTGATTTTTTAGAAATCACTAAATGTAGGCACTTAGTGGTATAAGCTTGCTTCTCAAGACTGCTTTTAATGTGTCCCGGATGGTTTCTCTTGTTATGTTTTCATTTATTTCCAAGAATTCTTTAACCCATTCATCATTCACAAGTGTGTTATTTGATTTCCATGAGTTCATGTAGTTACTAGAAATTTTTGCTGTTGATTTTAAGCTGTGTTGCATTGTGGTCTGATAGAATACATGAAATTATTTTAATTTTTTGGTGTTTGTTGATATTTATTTTGTGCCCCAGTGTGTGGTCTATTGTATTTTATTTAAAAAATAATTTATTTATTAATTTTATTTTATGTACATGAGTGTATTGCCTGCATGTATTTAAGTGCACCTGTGTTGTGCAATGCCTGTGGAGGTCAGAAGAGGGTTTCAGATTCCCCAGAACTAGAGTTAAGGACAATTGTTAGCCACCATGTGGGTACTGGGATTCAAACCTGGGTCCTCCACAAGAGCAGCCAGTGCTCTAAACTGCTGAGCCTTCGCCTAACTCCTTCATCTATCATAGACAGTTTTTCTTTGTGAAGTATTCTGGGTTGGCATCTATGGTCATTTAGAACTTGGAATACATTGTTTCAGGTTCTTCCAGCTTTTATAGTTTGCATCAAGAAGTCAGCTGTAATTCTGATGTGTTTTCTTTCATATGTAACTTGTTTAGTATCCTCTTTTTGTTTTGTACATTTAGTGTTTTTACTATCATATGCTGTGCAAAGTCTGTTCTGGTCCTATTTGGTATTCTTTTTGCTTCTTGTATCAGTATGGGTGTGTCTTTTCTTAACTTTGGGAAGTTTTCATCTATAATTCTGTTGAAGTTATGGCCAATGCCATTGACCTGAGATTTTACTCTATCCTTTATGCCTATAGTGCATAGAGTTTGTCTTTTCATGGTCTCCCACAGTTCCTACATAGTCCATTCCTGTGTTTGAATTCTTTTTTTCATATTCTTGCTTCAGTGGTCCAATTCCCTATTTCTCTTTTTCTTTGAGTCTAGATATACTGTTTGCCTGTTTGCACTGTATTCATTCTGTTTGTGAAACTTTCTTCTGTTGTTTCAAATTGACTTGCTGAGTTTTTTAATTGCTTCCTCATTTCAGTGTTAATTTTCTTCAATATCTCTGTCATTCATGAATTCACATGATTCAAGAGTCACTGAAATTTTTTTGTAAATAGAAAAATCTTTTTAAAAAATTGTATTTTATGTGTACAAGTGTATTGTCTGCATATATGTAAGTGCACCCATGTTGTGCAATGCCCACAAATCAGAAAAGGGTGTCAGATTCCTCCAGAACTGGAGTTATGAACACTTACTTGTTAGTTGCCATGTGGGTGATGGGAACTGAACCCAGGTCCTCTGTAAGAACAGCCAGTGCTCTTAACTGCTGAGCCCTCTCCAACCTCAAAATCTGTTATTTTTTATACCTAGTATTTGGATTGGGTTTTGGAATATTCTATTTCCATATGGATCATAAACTCCTTGAAGAGTAAAACCATGTCTTGAACTACTTTATATGCCTTGGATTGCCTAACACAGCACATATGACATAGCACTGTGCAATATAATTCTAAACCTGAAAGTTAGCATAGAAACAATGTAATTCATCCATTCAATTCAATAGCATCCAACTTACTAATTGGCCTTGATGCTGTCTCCTTGAAAGATACAGAAAGATAAAGGGCCATGTCATTCTCAAGGAGATATAGGCCTGTAATTCAGCATTTCTTTCTTCCTTTTTTTAAAAAAAATCAGAATTCTTATTACTTGGGCACTGTGTATACAACATAATGCTAGGAACTCACCATCCCTGTTCTTATGCTGTTTCTTGTTACAGGGGCATAGGAGGAAGAACTGGAAAGTGAGAAAGTTCATTCTGAGAGAAGACCCGGCCTACCTGCATTACTATGACCCTGCTGCGGTGAGACTATGTGTTTGATAAGTCCATCCCACATGAAAGCCTCCATTGTAAACTGGGGTCATATTCCCCATCTGTTTCACTGATACTTCATCTTTCCTTCACTTTTCTATTACTTTTCTTCCTATTCTCCTTTGTCTATCACCTCTTGTTGCAATATCTATGCTCTTGTGCCTTGGAGACCAGCAAAAACTCAAGAATGTAAGAAGATATCACTGAATTATAATGGATTTGTTTATTCAATATAACTTTGTCCAATTTGATGTATATTATTACTGTAATTAATTTCTTTCAGCATACAGATAATGGGTTTCATATGACTTTTTCATACACTTATCATTTTACTTTTCTGTCATTCTCCTACCCCTACTGCCCTCTCTTGGCCCCCCATTCAGCATTCATATCTTCCCCCAGGTAGTCCCTCCTGCTTTCCTGCACAATATTCTATTCCACTTCTTCCTTTCTCACTCAGTTCCCATTCTTTTCTTCTCTGTCTCTCTTTCTCTCTCATATACATACACTTAAATTTCCTTTATGTATATGAGAGAAAACATAAGCTATTTCTCCTTATGAGTCTGGTTTATTTTGCTTTAACAAAATGTTTTATAGTCCCACCCATTATCTTGCAAATGTCATTGTTTCATTCTTTTTTACAGCTGGATAAAATTCAATTGTGTATACATACCATATTTTCTTCATCTGTTGGTGGACTTCTAGGTTGGAGCATGCTAATTTTTATTTTTAGTTTTTGGAGGAAACTCCATATTGATTTACATAGTGGCTACCACAGTTTACATTCCCACCAGCGGTCTATGAGTTCACTTTCCTCCATATTTTTCTCAGAATTTACTAGAGTTTTTTTTTTTTTTGATAGAGTTTTTTTTTTTTAATGATAGCTATTCTGACTGGGATGAGATAGAATCTCAATAGAATTATTTTAACTTGCATTTTCCTCATGGCTAAGGTTTGAGCACTTTTTCAAATATTTATTGATCATTTGTATTTCTTCTTTTGAAAACTATTCATTTCATTAGCCTAATTATTAATTTGTTGATTTGTTTTTCTTGGTATTTTATTTTGGCATTCTTTATAAATTCTAGATATTAACCTCATGTTGGATGGATAGACGACAAGGATTTTTCTTCCATTCTGCAGGCTGCCTGTTCACTCTGCTTATGGTTCCTTCTACTGTAGACAAGAAGTTTTGTACAATCTCATCTGTTAGTTTTTGGTATTATTTCTGTGCTATTGTAATTATTCTTCAGAAGTCTATGCCTGGGCCTTCATCTTGAAATGTTTTGCTTGTGTTTCCCTCTAGCAATTTCAGAATTTCAATTCTTATATTAAAATCTTTGATCCATTTTGAATTGGTTTTGTGCACACTGAGAGATATGAATCTAGTTTCATTCTTTTATTTACTTAAAATATCGTTTCCCAAGCACTATTTGTTGAAAAAGCTGTCTTTTTTTCTGATGTACTTTTTTGTACCTTTGTCAAAGATTAGTGGGCTATAGTTGTGGGGGCTACTTTGTGGTCCTCTATTTTATCCTACTGGTCTCTGTGTCTGCTATTTGAACTAATCCTGCTTTGGTTATTATGGCTCTGTAGTATAATTTAAGATCAGATATTGGGATGCCTCAGGATTGCTCTCCACTGTCCTGAATTTTATTTCCTTGGTAGATTTATTTCCAGTAATTTATATTTTGAAGCTATTGTAACTGGGATTAAACAATTCTTTCTGGAAAAAATCATTATTATAAGTTACAAAAGCTATTGATCTTGTATGTTGATTTTGTATCACTTCTTTGCTGAAAGTATTGATCAGAGCTAAGAGCTTTTGGCAGTTTTTAGGATCTTCTTGTCAAAGGCCTTTTGTGCATCTATTGATGTATGGTTTCTGATTGTTAATATTTGTATGTGCTGTATTTTATATACTGACTTGTACCTATTAAACCACCCATGCATACCTGAAATGAGACCAACTGGTCAGGGTGTATTATTTTCTTAATTGTGCTCTAAAATTTGCTCCATAGGAATTTTATTGAGAATTTTTGCATGTATATTCATCAGGGATATCAGCCTACACTTTTCTTTTTTGTTGGGTCTTTATCTGATTTTGTTATCAGGGTGATGTTGCCTTCCTAAAATGAGCTTGGTAGTGTTCCTTGCCTTTTGATTTTATTGACATTTAAGGAGCTTGTCATTGTTTTTCCTTAGTGGTTTCATAGATTCCAACATGAAATTTGTTCAGTTCTGGACTTTTTATTGTGGGTGAGACCCATTATTAATCTTATAGTATCATTGGTTTTATGAATTTGGTTTTAGTTGCTTATATTCTCTTGATTTAATTTTGGTAGATGACATATGTCTAATATATTAATTTCTTCCAGAATTTCCAGTGTTTTTTGTATATTAGTTTTCAAATTATTTCCTAATGATCTGGATGTCACTGAAATCAGCTGTTAACTTCTCCATTTTATGTCTAGTTTTATTAATTCATATCTTCTTTCTTTGGCTAGTTTGACTAGGGTTTTGCCAATATTGTTTATTTTTTCCATGAACCAACTCTTTGATTGATTCTATAAACTTAGTCTCCATTTCATTAATTTATGCCTTAATCTTATTTCTTGCCATCTACTGCTTTTGGATTTGGCTTGTTCTTGTCCTGAGAACCTGAAGTATCATTAGGCTATCTATATGCAATCTCCTATTTTTTAATGTAAGAACTCACATATAATCTTCTAAGAATTGCTTTAACTGGATCACAAATGTTCTCATAAATTATGCTTTTATTTTCATTTGACTATAGGAATTTTAAAATTTCCTCTCTGATTTCTTCAATAAGTGTGTTGTTCAGTCACCAAGTGTTTACATGGTTTGTAGAGTTTCTCTTGTTATTGAGTTCTAGTTTTCCTCTATTATAATATGATACGATACAATGAATTGTTTCTATTCTTTTGTGCTTGTTAAGATTTGCTTTATTACCTGGAATATGATCTATTTTAGGGAGCATTCAATGGACTGCTGAGAATAATTACATATTCTATGTTTATGGATGGAATAGTCTGTATATATTTGATAAGTCCATGTGATCTAGGGTACAAATTTAACTCTTGATTTTTAGTTTGTATTACATCTCTAAAGATGAGAGTGGAGTATTGAAGTGAGTGTTGGTTTCTTTACCAGTGATACATGATTCTTAGAGACAACAGAGAGATACTTCTCTTTATTGATGAGCTGAGGCCATTAATATTGAATTTGTTATTGAGGGATGTTTGCTCACTGCTGTAATCTTGCTGGCTCTTTTGCTCCTTGGTAACATTTTTGTTTGGTGTTTTCTTTCTCCCTTATTAGTATTTAAGGTTTGCTGGCTTGATTGTGTTGGACATGATGAATTTTTGTTTTTGGTTAACCTTTCTTTATTTATCTTGTGAAGTTTATTCTTTCCTGTGCTCTTAAGTGAGAAGTCTTTGGTTTATACTATTTCTTTAAGAATTTTCTCCAGGGCTGGCAAGATGACTCAGTGGGTAAAGGCACCTGCCACCAGCCTGACAATCTGAATTTGGTCTCTTCCACCCACATGGTGGAAGGACAGGACTGTCATCTGCAAGTTGTCCCTGACCTCCTCAAATGTACTATGGCACACATGTGTGCGTACACACACACACACACACACACACACACACACACACAAAGAAATAAGTAAAATAAATAATAAAATTTTCTCCAATGCTGACTTGATGGCCATGAATGGGCTTAGTATGTCATAAAATGTTCTTAATTTCTCCATCAAATTTAACAGACAGTCTTGCTATACCTAGCAATCTTTGTTGGCAGTTGCTTCATTTCAGAATTTGAAATATATTGTTCCAGGATTCACTGGCTTTCCTGACTGTTAATAAGGATCTCATATTATTCTGATGTATTTACCCCGTAGGAGACTTGGCATTTTCCCTTATGTTTTTTTCTAATTTTTAGAATAGCATACAAAATATTGGAAATCATCATGGTGTTTTCAAACAGTGTGCGTTAGTAGATTCTCCTTGCTCCTCATTTCTGCCACCGCACACACTACTCATAATCCTCCTTATCAGCTTCCTCCACAGTTTTTCCTCTTTCATGTTCCCTGTGTCCCTTTGCTTACCCCATCCTTCCTCATTACTCATTTTTATCCTTTCTAGTTTTTTCTTAGGTTTTTTTTTGTTTTACCTACACACACACACACACACACACACACAGAGAATTAATATTATTAAAATGAATGTTACCAAAAATAATCTACAGATTCAGTGCAGTTCCCATTAAAATTCCAATGTAATTCTTCACAGAGCTAGAAAAAAATTGGAGAATAACAAATGTTGGTGAAGATGTAGAGAAAGAGGAACCTTTATTCACTGTTGGTGGGAATGAAAACTAGTACAACCATTATGGAAATCAGTAAGGAGTTTTTTTTTTAAACAATCAAAAGAGAAATACCACATGGCCCATCTCTACCAGTTCTCAGCATATACCCAAAGGACTCCATATCCTACTGCAGATATATTTGCACATTCTCAGTTTTTAATATTGTTTCTTTGTTTTATATTGTTAACATCTTCACTATAGTATGTTGTGGAGAGGTTCTTCTCTGAGCATGTCTGGTTTTAATTTTAAATGTGTGTGGTGTTTGCATGACTCTAGGTCTAGGTTTGTGATAGTTTGTAGAGTCTATTACCGATGCCTTTAGTTTCTACGTCAGCTCCTTCTAGTATATCGAATCTTGGGTTTGATCTCTTGGTTGTATCCTGGAATTCTTGGGCATTGCATCCTTGCTCATCTATTTATTTATTTTTCCAATTTGATGTTTGAATGTCTCATTCCTCGTTCTTTCCCTCCATCCCTGATACTTTTTACTCTGCTTGGTCAAGCCTATTGGTGCTGCTTTAACCACTGTTTTTTAAAAAATGAGGTTAATTGTATTTTTCATTCTAAACATTTCTATTTGTTTTTGTTTTTTTCCCCCAAAATCTCATTTCCTTGACTGATGTTTTCTTCCCTGTTGGTTTTTAATTCACGTTGCTGACTTTCTAGCCATTTTTCTGACTGTTTCTTCTGTGTTGCTGACTTTCTTCTCCAGGTCTTCATCTGAATTAATCTGCTTGTGCTCTCTTTGAGGTCATTGATCATTTTTACCAGTAAACTTTTGAAATCCTTATCGGATATTTGAATTTAGTAGCTGACAATTACAGTCTGTTGGGTTGGCCAAACCACACTACTCTGTTTCTCAGTCTCCTGTGTTATTGTGCTGTGATTTGTGTATCTCTTGGTTTGTGTTTCAATTTTATTTTGGGATTTTCTTATTGAGAAGCCTAAACCTGAGGGCTCAACCTGCATTACAATTTAGAAGAAAAAAAAATGCTTTCAGATGGGGCCTTTTTTTCTTGTGTGTGTGTGCCTCTGTGTATATGTGTATGTTGTATATGCACATGTGTATGCAGTTGTACATGCTTGTGTACATGTGTGGATACCAGAGGAGTGTATGTGTATGTTGTATATGCACATGTGTATGCAGTTGTACATGCTTGTGTACATGTGTGGATACCAGAGGAGTGTATGTGTATGTTGTATATGCACATGTGTATGCAGTTGTACATGCTTGTGTACATGTGTGGATACCAGAGGAGTGTATGTGTATGTTGTATATGCACATGTGTATGCAGTTGTACATGCTTGTGTACATGTGTGG